GGGGCCGATCGTGCTGCATAAGACGGTCGTCGCCATCCTGGAGGGAATGGGCGAGCCGAACCGTGAACTGGGGGTATGACGGCGCTGAGGGGGCCGATCATACCGCATAAGACGGTCGTCGCCATCCTGGAGGGAATGGGCGAGCCGAGCCGTGAACTGGACACGATGGCGCTGAGGGGGCCGATCGTGATGCACAAGACGTTCATCGCCATCCTGGGGGGGATGCGTGATCCGAACGTGAAAGAGACACGATGGCGCTGAGGGGCCGATCGTGCTGCATAAGACGGTCGTCGCCACCCTGAAGGGAATGTGCGAGCCAAACCGTGAAGCTAGGTACGATGGCGCTGAGGGGCCGATCGCACTGCATAAGACGTTCGTCGCCATCCTGGAAGGGATGCGCGATCCGGACGTGAAAGAGACACGATGGCGCTGAGGGGCCGATCGTGATGCACAAGACGTTCGTCGCCACCCTGGAAGGGATGGACGAGCCGAACCGTGAGCTGGGTACGATGGCGCTGAGGGGCCGATCATACTGCACAAGACGGTCGTCGCAATCCTGGAGGAAATGGGCGAGCCGAACCGTGAACTGGGTATGATGGCGCTGAGGGGCCGATCATACTACACAAGACGGTCGTCGCCATCCTGGAAGGGAATGGGCGGGCCGAACCGTGAACTGGACACGATGGCGCTGAGGGGCCGATCGTGATGCACAAGACGTTCGTCGCCACCCTGGAAGGGATGGACGAGCTGAACGTGAGCCGGGTACGATGGCGCTGAGGGGCCGATCGTACTGCATAAGACGGTCGTCGCCATCCTGGAAGGGAATGGGCGGGCCGAACCGTGAACTGGACACGATGGCGCTGAGGGGCCGATCGTGATGCACAAGACGTTCGTCGCCACCCTGGAAGGGATGGACGAGCTGAACGTGAGCCGGGTACGATGGCGCTGAGGGGCCGATCGTACTGCATAAGACGGTCGTCGCCATCCTGGAAGGGAATGGGCGGGCCGAACCGTGAACTGGACACGATGGCGCTGAGGGGCCGATCGTGATGCACAAGACGTTCGTCGCCACCCTGGAAGGGATGGACGAGCTGAACGTGAGCTGGGTACGATGGCGCTGAGGGGCCGATCGTACTGCATAAGACGGTCGTCGCCATCCTGGAAGGGAATGGGCGAGCCGAACCGTGAATCTGGACACGATGGCGTTGAGGGGCCGGTCGTGATGCATAAGACGTTCGTCGCCACCCTGGAAGGGATGGACGAGCCGATCGTGAGATGAGTACGATGGCGCTGAGGGGCCGGTCGTACTGCATAAGACGGTCGTCGCCATCCTGGAGGGAATGGGCGAGCCGAACCGTGAACTGGACACGATGGCGCTGAGGGGCCGATCGTGATGCACAAGACGTTTGTCGCCACCCCTGGAAGGGATGGACGAGCTGAACGTGAGCCGGGTACGATGGCGCTGAGGGGCCGATCGTACTGCATAAGACGGTCGTCGCCATCCTGGAAGGGAATGGGCGAGCCGAACCGTGAATCTGGACACGATGGCGCTGAGGGGCCGATCGTGATGCATAAGACGTTCGTCGCCACCCTGGAAGGGATGGACGAGCTGAACGTGAGCTGGGTACGATGGCGCTGAGGGGCCGGTCGTACTGCATAAGACGGTCGTCGCCATCCTGGAGGGGATGGGCGAGCCGAACCGTGAGTCTGGACACGATGGCGCTGAGGGGCCGATCGTGATGCAGAAAAATAGTGATGATCATCTCATGGACCTCGGCCTGTCGGTGAATGGTAATCGTCTCGCGGCCCTCGGCCGTGCTGGTGATGTGTCAAGTCTCTCTCCTGATTGGCTGTGAGAAGCCGATCGTCTGCCAGGACTCCATCCGGGAAGGAATGGTGAGCCTGAAATAAATCTGGGTGATGTCCCTCCTATCTGATCTAAGGAGCTAGTCTTCGTTCGTCTACCGTATCCGTGGTCCTATGTACGGACCGCTAAGCGGTGTACACTCGGCACGCACAGACTCCGGTAAAGAACTGGTCCATCGTGTCTGATCCATGGAGCTGGTCTTCGTTCGTCTACCGTATCCGTGGTCCTATGTACGGACCGCTAAGCGGTGTACACTCGGCACGCACAGACTCCGGTAAAGAACTGGTCCATCGTGTCTGATCCATGGAGCTGGTCTTCGTTCGTCTACCGTATCCGTGGTCCTATGTACGGACCGCTAAGCGGTGTACACTCGGCACGCACAGACTCCGGTAAAGAACTGGTCCATCGTGTCTGATCCATGGAGCTGGTCTTCGTTCGTCTACCGTATCCGTGGTCCTATGTATGGACCGCTAAGCGGTGTACACTCGGCACGCAACAGACTCCGGTAAAGAACTCGGTTCTTCGTTCTTCCCAAGTCTCGTGAGTACTGGTCTCCTGGTTTCGCAGGAGACGTTCGTCATCCCAACTATGAGAAGAAACAGGTTTATCCACGTCGGGATTCCGTATTCTTCGTTCGTCCCTGTCGTGGTCCTACTAATCTTCTTACTTCGAAGAAGACGTTCGGTCATCCAACGATCGCAAGGAGGTCACTGGTTTATCCACGTCGGGATTCCCTGCTTCGTCGTCCCATGCTCGTGGCCCTACTAGCTTTCTGCTTTGGCAGAAGGTGTTCATCGAACCACGGGTCATGGGAGGAACTGGTTTATCTTGCCGAGGTTCCCTTTGGTACGTCTAGCCCCCCCCCCCCCCCCCCCCCCCGCCCCCACGTTCCTACTAGCCTCCGCGTCGGGAGACGTTCGTCATACGCGGCGAAGGAAGATCAGGCATACCTCGTCAAGACTCCCTCTCTCATAGGATCTCGTCTCCCCTTCTCCCCACCTTTTTTTTTTCTTCTTCTTTTTTTTTTTTTTGAGGGAGGAAAATACGTTCGTCGGTTCCAAGAATAACCACAAGTGATGTCACACATAATGGTGGTGGGATATCAAAATGAATAGAATGACGAGGCGATGGAAATGCTGGTCGTCATGCGAAGGCGATGGTCACCCTCCTGAAGGGAGGGGTGAGCCCGATCGCTAACTCAAGAAGGTCGGCATTGGGAGCCGATATACAATGATCATAATGTCGCTGAGCAGTCGGTCCTGATAATGGAGATGGCAATAGTGTCCGGTCAGGCCGATATATCCGAGCAACGGCTCTCATCCAACGCAGCGCGGGGATGAAACCGGTCTTCAAAAGATAAATATGTCGTGCCGAGAAGCCGAACATAACATGATAGCGTCGGCAGTGAGAGGCCGATCGTGATATAATAACATCGGTAATGAGAGACCAGTCTGAGAAAACAAGCAACGGCCGTCATCCGCGAGGAGCGGGGATGAAACCGGTCTTCAAATATGGAAAGCACGCCGAGCCGGGAGGCCGGTCGTGATATAACGGTGTCGGCAATGAGAGGCCGATCTGAGAAAACAAGCAACGGCCGTCATCCGCGAGGAGCGGGGATGAAACCGGTCTTCTAATATGGGAAGCACGCCGAGCCGGGAGGCCGGTCGTGATTTAATGGTGTCGGCAATGAGAGGCCGACCTGAAATCAAGCAACGGTCCTCATCCACGCATCGCGGGGATGAGCCCGGTCTTCAAATAAAATAATCATGCCGTGCCGAGAGGCCAGTCATGATGTAATGATGTCGGCAGTGAGATGCCGATCTGAAATCAAGCAACGGTCCTCGTCCGCGCAGTGCGGGGACGAGGCCGGTCTTCAAATAAGATAATCATGCCGTGCCGAGAGGTGGGCATGATGTAATGATGTCGTCAGACGGCCCTCGGCCGTGACATTCTCTTCTAGGCCCTCGGCCTCTGAATGACGGGTGGTCGTCTCACGGTTCTCTGTCATGGCATTCGCCTCTAGACCCTCGGCCTCTAGGTGTTCTTCCTAGGCCATCGGTCTCTGGAGTGGAGATGCTCGTCCCACGGTTCTCAACCGTGGTGGTCTCCTCTAGGCTCTCGACCTCTGGGTAGAGATGCCCGTCCATCGGCTCTCAGCCGTGATGGTCTCCACTTTAGCTGGCCCTTCACGTCTTTGAGATTTAGGCCAAGCGTCTTCTAATCCTTTCGCTCAAGCGCGTCGAGTGGCTTCAGCTGCGCAATAAGCATGATAACAGGCCGTATGGCCCGACAATATGTATGCACACATAGCCATCTGTGTGGCCTTCCCTCTAACACCCACGATTACCGGCCTATGGGTCATCGTGACCCTCGGCCCGGCTCATCGTGCGGGGTTAATGGACGTAGCAGCTCGCGGCGGGGCCAATTAGCAGCCCGCCGAACGTCACATGTAGATATTCTTCGGTCTGTGAGTTTTCAAACTCAGACCCAAGTTGGTCGCACTGCCCTCGGAAAAACGAGGTTGAGTGCTTTGGTGCCCTCGGGCCCCACAGGCCGCGTCTGGCAATAGTCACTTCGCGCCCAATGGCGTAGATGACAGTGGGGTACGATCGTCGCTCGGGTACTTGGTGCCGTGCGGACTAATGCGTAACCCCCAAATTAAAATGCGTCGTCAGGGCATCGCCCTTTTGGAGACGCTCAGATCGCTTAATCAAGCTAATCGAGAGTGGGCCAACAGGCCCACAAGAAATTAAATATCCAATAAAACGTTGGCTGAACCAACCATCACTAGAGCTTCGCTCCACATTATTTAATTCGGGACATTTTTATCCCTAATAAATAGTAGTGGCGTAACAGGTAATAGCAATGATATTTTCCTATCAGAGGCCATTCAAGTATACTCCGTTCGCTAATTAAAGCCGATCAGGAGCGGGCCGACGGGCCCACAACAATTAGTCATTAAATTTAAATGACGGTGAAAACTAACTATCACTTAGAGCATCGCTCTCATTATTTAATTTCGGAAGTTTTAATCCCTAATAAATAATGGTGATAAGAAATCTAATAGCAAATAATACTATTAGTAAAATACTTTAACTAGTAAATGAGAAAGTTTGTGTGATACTTAGGGAGTGTTTGCAATCACTTAAAAAAAGCACTTCTCAGCTTTTGGCTTAAAAAAGCACTTATTTACCAAACACTACCAATTTTTACTTTTTTCTCGGCTTGCGTGTGAAAAGTGTTTTTCCCCTTTCTATTACACAAAAAGCACTTATTTTACCAAACACTATCAACTTTTACTTTTCAAAATCACTTTTTTCTCAAACACTATCAACTTTTCCTACTAATCACTTTTTCCTTACATCTCCAAAAGTGCTTTTTTTTAAGCAGAAGCAGTTGCAAACATTCCCTTAGCTCTCGTGAGATGGCCTGGAATCATGGGCTCATCTCGGTAGCTCCGCATCAAGCAATTGCAAAGCGTTGACTTCTCAAATAAAGCATGGTGCTCCACTCATCTTTATTGCTAACTCCCATTTTTGTCCTTCACACGTGGTCAATCCTTAACCAAGTAAGGAGGATCTTTTGGAGCAGCAGATAAACACTCCCTCGACACCAAGAAGACATCAGACGTCGGCTGCTGACCCACGACGGTGATGGTGGCCGCAAAGGAGCCAGAGCGGCCGGGAAAACTAGTCTTCGGTGGAGGATTGGCTCAGCTTCGAAACACTTTTCCTGAAATTCAAGCCACCATTAACGGTGGAACCCAAGGAATTCCCAACCGCGGATCTTCTAGCTCGCATCAACGGACCGGTGGAGGCTCGGACGGAGACTGGCAAGCGGTTCACCGCTGATGACGAGCCGTGGTCTGGCGACCCTGGCGGTGGCTGGTGGGGCCAACTGCGAACGAACCACGGGCGGCGACTCCATCGCAGGTGGTGTTGTGCTAGACACGGTTTGGCGGGTCCCAGGACGCTGCAGCGAGCTTCCTCTAGTTCTTCTGAACCCGCCGGAGGGTTCACGGCGGCACGAACGACGGCGGCGGCTCCAGTGAACCCAACCCAGATCTGAAAAATTCCAGATTTGGACTTCAGATTCATTTTTCCAGCATATTTTCTCTTCTTTTTTCCCAGAGTCTTCTTCCTCCTGTTTTGCTTTTCAGAATCACTTTCTTTGTTGGAAATCAGTGCATTTGGTATCAAATTTCTTTTTTCTTTTTGTTGAGAATCAGTTCTTCGTATGAATCTTTGCCCGAAAATGAAGAACACATGTAATCTTTTTGAACTGATTCCCACAGACGGCGCCAGTGTTGAGTTTAATCCAACACGATATAGTAAATATATGTATAAATGTGTATGAACAGCTCAGTTTTTACGTGGAAACCCGAAAGGGAGAAAACCACGGGACTTTTTAGGCTAATGTCCAAGCCCTCTCAATTCTCATTAGGACTCTCCTCACCATTACATTATACAAGCTCCCATTCATGAGGTATTTGAGCTAAGTCTAAAAGAAAGGAGGAAGGAGAGCTAAAAAAAAGGGGTCCATAATATGGAGGGAAGCTCCCATATTTATAGAGAATAGGGAAGGGGTGCTCTCCACCCTAATGGGCCAAACGGGCCAATATCGGGCCTAAATGGCTAAAGTGGGCCGGATGGGCCGAAATGGGCCTAGCTGCTCGGGCTCCGTACTACATAAAGCCTTGGACTCATGAACAGTAATAGGCCGGGATAATATATCCCAACATAAGTATTTGCAAACCCGACACTAATATACGAGTTTGAACAGTACAATAATCAATTATGCGCTACGTAGAACATTAATCGTTTTACAATTGTTTGGAAATCGGAAATTCAATACATAGACTTTCAATTTATTTTTAATTGAATTTTCAAGGACGTTCGGGTGCGATGTCACATTATTGAGCTAAATAACGGGAGTAGGTTTTTCTTCTATAATATTCATCATGTAAATTTTCGGGATGATCATACACATATTGGAGATCAATAATATGATGTAGAGAGTTGACTTGTTCTAGATAAATTAGAATGAGTACAAAGAGACATCTTTTGGCAAAACATAAAATAATAGGATCCATTTTTTCATTTTTGGAAGTATTGGTAGATATTTTGGACCTCAAATTGATTAGGACCAATTGGGAAGCAATCCACATGATTTGAGTACCTGCAAGACAAGAAAAATAAGTGAGGAGACTTACCTTGTCCGCACAAGCTGGAGTGGAGCTGCACAAGACTTGATTGGTGTTGGAAAAAGTGTGTTAAATTGCATTAAATGGTCATTTTGGGGCACTTTTTTGAGCGGGGTCCACTTCCGACTTGGGTCGGGTCAAAGTGGTTTCAGATAGTCCTTGCTTAGGGCTACAATTCGATATATGGTACGCTCAAAACGGATAACGGGTGAATGAGAAATCGCTTTTCGAAGTGTACCCGTTGGAATGGAGAAAACTAGGAAAAGGTGTGGTTTTGGTATGGGTTTTTCCCACACCGGAATCACAAGGGAATTTGAACTCTTTATAAAGGGAAACCCCCCTTAAGGAGTTAAGATTCCTTAGGGTAAAGGCTCTCTCCACGCGCGCAGGGGGGGTGCGAATCAAATCCCGAAACCGAAGAACAAAAAGCGCGGCTTGCGTGCGCGGGCGACTTGCGGACACGAATGCCGTCCGAAAATCCTATCTTCTAAAGATAACGTTAGTTTTTGTTCTTCCGGTACGTTCCTATTTATTTTTGCTCCATGCTAGACTGCAACGTTCATGAACGTTGCAACATAAATTCCCAACGTTCATGGCCCTTAATGCAAACGTTTTGGACTGGTGGCATGTGTAGAGTCAATGCCAGCATGCTGCCTTGAAGTCCCAACGTTCATATGAACGTTTTGGACTGTTTTTGGCTGGAATCAATGTCCCAAACGCTGGGCATTGATGTCCAACGTTCATATGCCTTAAACAGTCATTAACACATGCAGATCCTCCCCTATATAAGGCTGGCAGCTGCTTTGCAAAATACACAAGCTCACAGACGTATTGCACTCTTCTTTAGCTCTAAAAACTCTCCCGGCCATCTCCGAGAAATTCCTTCAGTGTTCACAGCATTGTTCTTGTTCGTTGGAACCATAGTTTGAGTGCTAAACTATCGTTCGAAGTCATCGTATCCTGGGAAACGATTCTTGCAACGCTCCTAGCACCCCGGGAGGCAACGAATACGTTTTAAGGAAATCGTGCGTTGCACGAGCTTTGACTTGTTCTGCTTCATCTCATTTCTCGTTTTTCATTTGAGTCATTTTATTTAATTAATTTTTATTAAATAATTTTCTTTGTTTTTCGAAACACACCCAACAATTGGAATCAAACTTGAGACCCACCTTGTCAATTTCCGCACAAATCATGGGTGTGGTTTGTCTCCCTCCTTAAAGGGAGTTGTACTCGTCCAAATGAGGTGTATAAGGTGTCCTTGGATATAGTTTGAAGTCTAGTTTCACATTTGAGTGGTCTCTGTGCGAGAGGGGAGAGTTTATCATACAAAAATTGAGCTGGAGTGAACTGCTGTCTGTAAACTCGAGCAGTGAGAGTGTTGAGGCTGTTTGGTTGATATCTCGAGTTATAACAATCCAAATCAGGCGTGCAAGACACAAAAAGAAAGCTCTCAAGACGAGGAATCCGTGAAGGTCTGGTTTGCATCAATCGGAGTAGTGGAAGACTTCCAAATCGTCCGAGAAAAACACAACCTCCCAGGAACGGACTTACTCTCCTGAAGTGAGTGTTAACCCCAAAACTTTACTTTTCATTTTCCTAATGATATGAACGATTGGTGTAACTATTATACACTACTCCAAGTGTATAATATGCCCTCATAAGGTTATTTTATTGATGCAAAGGTTAGATACTAACCTAGAGCAAATCTTGGAAAACTAGGGAACGAGTTAGCCGTAAAACACCCATTCTAGGGGCTGTTTTCGTAACTACGATTAGGGGTTGAACTAGCACTTTGAGGAGGCTGTTTAACACTCAATTACAAGCAAGGAATCAGTTCTCAAACCTTCTTGGCTGAGGCTTTGGTCGTTGGAGCGAGAAGGAAGGTGTTAAAGCTCATTTGAGGTGAGGATCGACATCTAATTGCTTACAACTTGTAGGTTAAGCATGAGATTACCTAAATGCCAATATCATAATTTTTCATGGATTATGATGATTAAATATTGATGAAATATTGATATAGTTCCCAAAGAATGAAATTGGAAATGATTTGAGGAGGTATGAATATATGAGATTAAATGAGTTATAAATGAACTATTTTGTGAAATAGGGATTTTACTCATGTATTAAATATGTGGATACATAAATGGATATTATGTATTGAAGTTGAATATTTAAGTTGCTGCTACATACTTATAAATATGTAGAGAATTACAAAATGAAGATATTTGTATAATGACAATAATCTTAATAGTATTGAAAATACTAGTTAGTGATTATTTGAAATTGTTGATAAAATTGATCCTAAGTATTGAATTGTATGGAATGCACTTGAACGTACTTCAAGTGTATAAAACGACTTAGTATGAAACTAAGGGTAAGTTATGGGCGGTCATTGAGAATGACCAAGGTAGATTATTGAGATGTCAATTCTAGGCATATGGTTGCTTAGGAATTGGACTATAATGAAGAATTAGAGCCAGACTCTATGATTGCATGGAAACGTAGTTGGGCCGAGCCCTTGCCATGTAATTGCGATTTGCATGGAAATGTAGTTGGGCCGAGCCCTTGCCATGTAATTGTGATTTGTATGGAAATGTAGTTGGGCCGAGCCCTTGCCATGTAAATTGTGATTTGCGTAGAAATGTAGTTGGGCCGAGCCCTTGCTATTTGAGGGTCTTGTGTTTGAAATACTTGTTGTATATCCCTTAGATGCTATCCACACCAGTACTTTATAGCTGTATAGAGTACTAACCCCTTCGGGGGCGTCCCACCATCATTTCAGGTTGAGGCTCGAGCTTGCTACCTGTGCCCGTTGCTCGGGTGATCTTTTGGAGAGAAGACGTGGTTCGTGCCTTCTCCATTCTGTTTTGAACAATATTAAACATGCTCATGGATATTTTACTATAGAGCCTGCGTGCTCATGAATAGCCCTGTGTGGCCTTTTTGTTTTAAACAATGTTTTCCGCTGCGTTACGAATTACTTATTATGTTTGTTTATGGATGTTATGTGTGTGAATGATATTCAAGACGCCTTGTATAATATGAATGTGTTGGACTGCGGTTGACTATTGGTATTGTACGGCGGGTTGTTGACGTGTCCGGGGAGGTCCGGGGCGTGACATTATCCAAAAAAATTAAATGATACCTTGGTTGGACGTCCATCTCCAGAAGTCGCTGGAACTCCCCTCCCAACATAGAATACGAAGATCAACTTTACAGAGTTCACATTTGGAATGAGTTTGGGATGAGCAATTCGAGTGAGTTGTGGTATACGAAGGGACAAGAGAAAGAAATATGAGAGCTTAGGGAAGATATCAAAAGCCATCAATATCTATGGAAGATTTGCTACAGTGTAAGTGTCAATTTTATTTCTTTTAGTTTATCAATAGGAATAACCATCCCACCGCCAAAGATACTGAGTATATGTTAGGGAGAAAGGGGATATCAATAATATATTCATACTTTGTATCCAAGTGTCGAATGTTTAAACCTCAAGGGAGGTATATAAAAATAACCCCTTTTTTAAACAAGGCTAAAGGGCCAAATAGACCCCTGAACTGACTTTAAGTGTTCAATTAGCTCCTTATATAGGAGGTTCTACCCGGCCGTCGCCAATTGGGGCGGTTCTCGGTGGAATTTTGTGATGAAATTTTTTGAGCATCTTCTTCATTAAATCTAGTTTACTCATACCAAATTTCAGCTAAAAATTCAACCGGGAAGGCAGTCAAATGATTTTTTGAAGATAACTGCGAAGTTAAATAGCGCAATACATTTCGAAAAATCATTTGACTGTCTTCCCGGTTGAATTTTTAGCTGAAATTTGATATGAGTAAACTAGACTTAATGAAGAAGATGCTCAAAATATTTCATCAAAAAATTATACCCGGAACCGCCCCAATTGGCGACGGATGGATAGAACCTCCTATATAAGGGGCTAATTGAACACTTTAAGTCAGTTCAGGGGCCTATTTGACCCTTTAGCCTTTAAACAATTGCAAAGAGACCTTGGGTCAATCACGTTATTATGCTTATAGACAATCATGAGCTCATTTAACTATCGAAATACTCGTTTTTAAACCCAAAACAAGCCATCATCATTGACAAACTCTGGTTCATCCTCTGAACTACCAGCAAAAACATGAGGGTGCACATCCTCATTTGGAAGGAGTTCAACTTCTCTAGTTGGATCAATATCAGCCTCACCATCTAGTGTGTCTTCAAGATCGAGATCTGAGTTGTCCTCATTATGTGTAGTAACTACCAGTGTTTCAATTTGAGACTCTTCATCAACTGTTGAAACCACAAACCGTGCAGAGGAATACATTTTCTTTCTAAGTTGCTTAAATGTATTAAATAGATCCTCATCACTCAGAATCGTCTTGGTTTCATTTTCCCACGGAATTATAGCTTCAACATGTAACTTCTTTGCTTCATAAATACCATAAATTCTACATGCATTCTTTAAGTCAGTTCAGAGGTTATGCAAACTATACTTCTCGGGGACAGCTAACCCAAGCTGAATATTTCACCTTCAACTACATCCTCAATGTCAAAGTAATATAAGCTGCACAATAAATGTAAAGATCATATAAAGGCAACAAATAAAAGTTAAATGAGCAGCACAATAAAAAATAGTACTTTGTCAAAACTAAATATATTAAGTGGAACAAGGGTTGAGTCTATTTATGTGGCTTAGAACTCTGCACACTTCATATTGACATCATAAAAGTTGCTCTAAATTCTTCTAACCTGCGTTTAACTCATATATGTCCACATTTAAGTGAAAATCAAGAATAGTTTTGACTAAGATGATTTTATGAAGCACTATAAAAATATAAAAGGTTATATGGAAAAGAGTTGTGTCTATTATCTCAACTCCAAGTACAATCAGGCAAAACTCAGTACAGCTAATACATATTAAGTGTCTTTTAGGTTGAAAAAACATTTGCTACACATGTAATTCACAATTCAACTAACCCATTAACTTGAGTGGTAATACTAGAAGAAAAGAAATGAAGTCTATGTTTGGAGCTGGGGTGCTTGTTTTCATGGCTTAAAAAGATTGAATTTCTAAGTTTGAACTTTCCCTCAGGTCTTATAAAAAATCAAGACTTTTGACTTCTGTCATCTAAAAGGTCATAGGAGTACTTGAACAGAGCTTTCATACGTTAGTATAGCTTTCATACGTTAGTATATGTTTTGATATTAGCTGAATAAGGGACAAAAATAAAGAAACACATAACGTAACTTAGACTAATCTATTTTTTTGAAGAATTATAAAAACATTTGTTTAACAAAGAAAAATCCGGTCATTTGGAGTAATCATATGTACGCACCAATCTGAAAAAATCTAACCATTTGGAGTCCGGTCATTTGGAGTATTATATACTCATAATCTGAAGCATCCTTTTTAAGAAAGATGAACTTCAATATTTAAAAAAAAAAGAGGCATCTTTTTGAAAAAATACATAGTAATAATTTTCAAAAGTAACAAATTAAATAGATTATCCAAAAAAAAATTAAATGATACCTGGGTTGGACGTTTATCTCCAGAAGTCGCTGGAACTCCCCTCCCAACATAGAATACGAAGATCAACTTTAGAGAGTGCACGTTTGGAATGAGTTTGGGATGAGCAATTCGAGTGAGTTGTGGTATATGAAGGGCCAAGAGAAAGAAATATGAGAGCTTAGGGAAGATATGATTATATCAAAAGTCATCAATATCTATGGAAGATTTGCTACAATGTAAGTGTCGAATTTTATTTCTTTTAGTTTATCAATAGGGATAACCATCCCACCGCCAAAGATACGGAGTACTCCCTCCGCCCCATTTATATTGTCCCGTTTTACCTTTTCGGGAAGTCCCACTTAAATTGTCTCATATCATATTTGGCAAAGTTTGTGTGGTTCTAAATCATTCTTACTTTATTCTTACTTTATCAATTAATATCAACCACACAAACTCATTTTTCTTAGTAACCGTGCCACTCTCTTCCGTCCCAATATAAAGGCTAAAGGGTCAAATAGGTACATGAACTAACTTAAAGTGTTCAATTAGCCCTTTATATAGGAGGTTCTGCCCGGCCGTCGCCAATTGGGGCGGTTCCCGGTGGAATTTTTTGATGAAATTTTTTGAGCATCTTCTTCATTAAGTCTAGTTTACCCATACCAAATTTCAGCTAAAAATTCAATCGTGAAGGCAGTCAAATGATTTTTTGAAGATAACTGCGCAGTTAAACAGCGCAATACATTTCGGAAAATCATTTGACTACCTTTCCGGTTGAATTTTTAGGTGACATTTGGTATGGGTAAACTAGACTTAATGAAGAAGATGCTCAAAAAATTTCATCAAAAAATTCCACCGGGAACCGCCCCAATTGGCGACGGCCGGGCAGAACCTCCTATATAAGGGGCTAATTGAACACTTTAAATTAGTTCATGTACCTATTTGACCCTTTAGCCCAATATAAATGGGACGGAGGTAGTATATGTTAGGGAGAAAGGGGATATCAATAATATATTCATACTTTGTATCCAAGTGTCAAATGTTTAAAAAATAATCCTTTTTTTAAACCATTGCAAAGAGACCTTGGGTCAATCACGTTATTATGCTAATAGACAATCATGAGCTCATTTAACTATCGAAATACTCGTTTTTAAACCCAAAACAAGTCAACAACATCCGGATAACAGGGGAGGGTGGGGCCGGCCGGGATCACAAAATTGGAAATCAACACAGATTAAGAACGGGACTTGTATTTCAGGTTTGTTTCGAAGTACGGACGGATAGTGTGACAATTTAAAAGTAGTCTAGTACAGCTAAGTAGCTGCCTTTCAATTGTCATCACAGTAAACCGGCCAACTCAGTTAGAGTAACGTATGGGAAAAGGTCAGGGGAGTTCCCGGCGACGCCGCGGCCAGGGGACACCGGCTTCGAAGTCATCGGAAATGGGGCAGCGGCCGCCGCCACACTTTTTCAAAGTTATTTTGCCCCTTCGCACCACCTTGGTAAGCTTCGAATTGGTTCTTGCATATATTTTATTCCACTCTTTCTTCATTTGTATGGAAAATTCGGCGTTTGGGTTATGTGCAGATGATCCCAAAAGAGTTTATAAGAAAACACGGGAAGAATCTGCCAAAGGTGGGATCTTTTGAGGTTCCAACTGGGGAAATCTGGGAAATCGATCTGGTTCATTCTCAGGGTCATGTTTTTTTAGCCAAGGGATGGAAAGAGTTCGCTGAGAATTACTCAATTGGAGATGGTCACTTTCTGGTATTCAGATATGACCGGAAATCCCATTTTTCTGTCATCATATTCGACAAGAGTGCTTCTGAAATAGAATACCCGCTTCCCAAATCTCAAGATGATGAGATCCTCGAAGAAGTAGAAGCAGAAGGTGGACCAAACAAGCGTAGGAGGAAAGAAAAATTTGGGTCCAGATGCAAAATGAAGCTTGAGAAGTCACTCAAAAGTGGAGGCTCTCCTTCTCTGAATCCTAAAACCAAGAGTAAGATTTTGATTCCATATACGTAGTACTTGATATAGATTTGCTTTTGGTGGCTTTAATTTTTTACCTAATTGAGTTCATCCTCTAGAGCTGCTAGCAGGATGACACACTCCCGTGACATACTACGTGTATAGCATCCTGGAGACTTGTCGAATCAGTTGAGCCAGCCTGGGCTTGAGTCGTCAAAAACCCCATGTTACAAAAACCGGACCGGATCGGTGGGTCTACCCGCACGGAAAACGGCGACCCTGCGTCCACCCCGGTTTGGTTACCTATCCATCCGCAAATCTAGCAGAAATCAGTAATAACCGTGGTGTGTTATACTCTCACCGTCCCCCAATTAAGTTCCCGGTTAAATTTCACACATATTAAGGAATTAAATTTATTAGGGGTAAATTTTACTGTTTTAACACTGTTGACACTGTTGACACTGTTGACACTGTTGACACTGTTTGACACTGTTGACACTGTTTGACACTGTTTTGATGTAGATAATTTGTCAAATAAGGAAATGTATTGAATTGTAAACTTAATTCAGGGACTGCCCAAAAAGAGAAGTTAGAACTTAATTGGGGGATGGAGGGAGTAACAAAATTGATAAACGTTGACCGGGTCTTCTTGGCAGTGACCGAGTTGACCTGCCGGATATTCGCTGACAATGACTCAGTTATTTGTTTGGGTTGCTATCCAATTTGGTTCTTGTAACACGGCATAAACACTTTGAAGTCGTCAAAAACCCAAACTTGAGTTACCGAAAACTCGATTTTGTAAACTCTAACTTCATTTTCTCTAGAATTAGTAAAACCAAATTTAAGTCTATACTCCGTATTAGCTAAGAATTTGATCTTAGCTTCTAAATATTTCATAATTACATGAAAACACCCATATGGTCATGTATGTGACCAAATTTCACAATTCTTTTTAGTTGTCCCATTCCTTTATAGCAGTGCAATCGAGGTGTTAGGAAGCTATATTTCCATCTTACGGAGTATAAAATTTGTTGTAGAAATGGAGTTGCTTTAATTGTTACTTTCCAATACTCCGTATTAACTAATTTATTAAGATTTAGGATTTGATTTGATTTCATATACGTTGTAGTAATTAACTAATTCGCAAATTATATGGTACAGCCGGCTGTACCGTGCGCACGGTACAGCCGGACTTTTAGTTCGCGAATTGCAGGCTTCCATCGCAGACTTCTGTCATCGCAGGGCTTCCATCGCAGGCTTCCGTCATCGCAGGGCTTCCATCGCAGGCTTCCATGGCCGATCATCCTTGCTCCGTTGCTCGCCGCCTACTAGCACCTCTCCCTTTTTCGACAACCGCAACCCTTCAGCAGCTCTCCTTTTCGTCCTTAACTTCGCACGTTCTGTTCCTTTCTTTTCCTTTTTCTATTTTTCTCACACTGATTATTTTAGTTTGGTGGTTTTTGGGTCAAGGATAACCTAGTTTGTACGTAATTCTAAAGATATGAGCATACGCAAATAAAAGTTTGAGCATGGTGGTGATTTTAAATGAGCCTAAAAGAAATGAGTATACGCCTAAAAGAAATGAACCCACACAAACTAATATTGAACACATTGAAAATGAGTTTCATGTAAAATTGAAATGAGTATAACACCCAAAATGAATGAGCATACTCAAATGAGTTTTTTGAACGCTCATTTCGTAATTTATGTATACCCATTTGATATTAGTACAATACTCTTTTTAAAATGTCATATTCATGCATATTTCAAAATGAGTTTTAAGTTAAATTCAAATGAGTATTATGCCCAAAATGAATGAACACACAAAAATGAGTTTTTAATATTTTGATACTCATTTTGTAAATTATGTATGCTCATTTGGTATTGTTTTATGCTCATTTTAAAATGATGCACATATCAAATATACGCCCAAAATCAATGAGCATACACAAATAAAGTTTTGAATTTTTTTTATACTCATTTTATAAATTATGTATGCTCATTTGGTACTGTTGTATGCTCATCTTAAAATGATGCACATATCAAACATATCATACATACTACATTAGATTCACATATTGAAATTAATTATAAACATAATTTAAGATTTTTAATTTTTATAAATGAAAAAATCATAAAAAGAAACCGAATTAGAAAATATGAAGCAGAGATCACTGGTGCTCATTGTTAGGCTTTTAATACTCAGAAGAACAGGCTCGATGCTCATCAAAATTACATCAATGCTCATTTACGAGAAACCGCGAACTTCATGAAAATTACAAAACTGCCACCGGCTGTACGGTGCCAGCCGTACAACCGGCTATATGGTATACGCTTCCTTAACTAATTATCCCAATAATTTGATTCTAAGGGGGTGTATTTATTACTCCCTCCGTCCCTTAAAACTTTGTCAACTTTCCTTTTTTGAATGTCCCACTAACTTTGCCACTTTCTCTTTTAAGTAAAGAATTTGTGGTTCCAGTTAATTCTCTCTCCTCTGCACAAACCTCAACCACACAGTTTTTACTTTATTAATCCCCGTGCCGGTCAAACTTGGCAAAGTTTTAAGGGACGGAGGTAGTAAGATTTAGGATGTTTTCTTTTGGACTGTTTTCAGTCCCAGACCAGACCAGACTTAAACAGACCAGACCAGACCAGACTAGACCAGACATAAACAGACCAGACCAGACTTCTATAGTTATAAAATACACAGAGACCAAACGTTTACCAGACCAGACCAGTTTAGATCAGACCAGGCTTAAACAGACCAGATCAGACCAGACCAGCAAATTTCAATCCAAAAGAAAACATCCTTAGTGGCAAAATTTTAAAAATTCATGAATTATAAAAGTTTAGGTGTATTCAATGTGGACTTTTAAAAGTCTACAAAAGTCTAGGTGTATTCAATGTAGACTTTTAAAAGTCTCGAAAAGTCTAGGCGTATTCAAACTTTCGTTCATTCTTATTGACTTCTGGAATCATGGATTCTCGTGGACTTTTAACTCATTCTTATTTCTTAGTGCATCAATTCTCTGTAATTGTCTCTTCTCTTCATTAAATATTTTCGTGGACTTTTCTTATATCGGCTATTCATCCCCCCCCCCCCAACTCTCTTCTTCTTTATCCAAGCCGCCGCCACCCGGCCCCCCCCTTCGATCTTTCTTCTTCTTTAACCTAGCTTGCCCCACCCCTCTCCTTCCGTTCTTCTTCACCTTCAGCTTGCCCCACCCACCCCCTCGATTCGTTAATCTCATATATAACGATTCGGTTCTAGAATTTTTTAGATGAACTGGTATAAGAATTGATAGTATTACATCGGTGAAATTCCGGTACGACGTCAGTTAACCATTAAGAAAATAAATATTTTAACTATTACTTTCTTTCATCGTTAAATCGCTAACACATAAAAATATAATTTGAAATTAATAAATATATACCGTAAATAAGTATACGAAATTTTACAAGATAAAAATGAAAAGAAAACACTTATTAAGGGGGGTGTATTGTATTAGGAATTAGTGGCAAAATTTTAAAAGTCCATGGATTTTAAAAGTTTAGGTGTATTCAATGTGGACTTTTAAAAGTCCACAAAAGTCTAGGTGTATTCAATGCGGACTTTTAAAAGTCTATAAAAGTCTAGGCGTATTCAAATTTCCGTTCATTCTCATTGACTTCTAAAATCATGGATTCCCGTAGACTTTTAATTCATTTTTAGTGCAAAAATTCTCTGCAATTGTCTCTTCTCCTCACCAAAGATTTCCGTGGACTTTTCTTATATCAGTTCTTTATCCTGTCCCACTTCATTCCTCCCCTCCCTCCTAGGGATGGACCGAGCCCGGCCCGGTTTCGGTTCTGAGTTGGGCCCGATCGGGCTTGGAATTTTTTGGGTAAGGCCCGGGACCGGCCTAGGAGTCTACTGGTACCGGGCGGGGCTGATTCATTTTTTTGGGTTTTCTTATATATTCTAACCCTCACCCCCCAAACCCCTCCAAAACACCCCACCCAACCTACCTACCATAGGCCCAAACAAAAAACAAAAAAAAAAAACAAAAAAAACAAATAAGGCCCGGACCGGGCTGGTCCTCAAATATGCAGTCCTGGAACTGCCCCAATTAACCCCCCCCCCCCCTCCCCCGGGTCGGTCCTAGGCCCGGTACCGGTATCGATCCACCGGGTCGGGCTTAATTTATTTTTGTAGAATTTTGTGTTGCTATATGAATTACATTATTTCATATATTTATTTATTTATTTATTTATTTATTTATTTATTTATTTATTTATTTATTTATTTATTTATGTATTTATTTATTTATTTATTTATTTATTTATTTATTTATTTATTTATTTATTTATTTATTTATTTATTTATTTATTTATTTATTTATTTATTTATTTATTTATTTATTTATTTATTTATTTATTTATTTATTTATTTATTTATTTATTTATTTATTTATTTATTTATTTATTTATTTATTTATTTATTTATTTATTTATTTATTTATTTATTTATTTATTTATTTATTTATTTATTTATTTATTTATTTATTTATTTATTTATTTATTTACTTATATATTTCTTATCGTACTCCGTATTATATAGAGGAAATCACTTACGGTAGGACTAAAACATAGCATTATTCTTAAAGTATGATTAAATGTTTGATTTTTCTTAAATAGGAATAAATATTACATATTCACCCCTAATTTAATTAATTAATTAATTAATATAATTAATTGTCCCTAGCTCCCTTTCACAACCAAAGCCATTTTGTTGGTGACGCGTCAGTCCGATGACGACAGCGGGGAACTCCGGTGATGGAGGCGGACAGGTCACATTCATATCGGTAGCGACAATCTAGGTGAAAATTTTGACAACCAGCAGTAGCGGTCCGCATTTAAAAGTCTATGAACTTTTTGAAAGTCAATAAACTTATCCATGAATTTAAAAGTCCATAGAATTCATTCATAAAAAAGTCTATGGATTAAAAAGTCCATTGACTTTTTTAAAAGTCCATGGATTAAAAAAAGTCCACAACAATCTATATTGAATACACCCCCCTAAGAAGAAAATCTCGATTACACCTATGCTTGTATCACATGTAGCAATGAGTGTAACGTCTGTGTAACGATTAATGTTATTACTCTTTAATAAAGAGACCAAAATTCTTGAGGATTCTTGAAACTTTGAGTTTTCTTTTTAATATAAACAAATATGGGTTCTTATGCTTCATTTACTATTTAGAATTCTGTGTTGCTATATAAATTACATTTGTTTTATTTATTTATTTATTTAATGGTTTCTTATCATATTCCGTATTATAAAGAGGAAATTACTCACAGTAGGACTAAAACATAGCATTTTTTGAAGTATGGTTATATGTTTTTTGATTTTCTTTAAATAGGACTAAATATAACATATTCACTCCTAATTTAATTAATTAATTAATATAATTAATTATCTTTAGTTCCCTTGCATAACCAAAGCCATTTTGTTGGCGGCGCATCAGTCTGATGACGATGGCGGGGACTTCGGTGACGGAGGCGGACATGCAGATCGGTAGTGGCTATCTAGGTGAAAATTCTGACGGCCAATAGTGGCAGCCCGCATTTAAAAGTCTATGGACTTTTTGAAAGTCAATAAACTTATCCAAGGATTTAAAAGTTAATAGAATTCATTCATAAAAAAGTCTATGAATTAAAAAGACCATTGACTTTTTTAAAAGTTTATGGATTAAAAAAAGTCCACAACAATCCATATTCAATATAATACACCCCCTAAATGTCTTATCCTTTCAACAACGCCTTTTTGTTAAAATATTGTCGGGCACTTGTTTATCTGGGTAGCGGGTCACTGGTCATCGGGGTTTTAGGCGGGTTTGAAGCGGTTCAACGAGTTTGGGCAGGTTTTAACCTGTATACGGCCCAGAATTCTAAGCAGTCGCCGGTTTCTGAATCAACCTACATGGCCCAGTTCGAGTATATAACACAGGATTTGTATTCTCAAATCTCAAATATAAGTAAGAAATAAATATTTAGATACTGTTGGTAGAATAACAATTAATTTATGATAACTCATATTATTCACAATACTAAACTGTGTATGCATTATAATTTAGAATGTCTTGGTTGTATAAGTCAGATTATCAGAGTTCATGTTTTATATGATGTGATTTATTGAATTAACTTCAGATTTATTTATTAAAGTTACTTTAATTTTAAATTATCTCGTTCAAAGTTACCAGTATTATAGGTACCGGTACGGTGTATGGTAAAACTGTAATCTTTATTTATTCTTTAGCAATGACATTTCAGGCTCGAAAACATATCTGCAACAATCTTATACGGAGGGAACAAGAAAGTCAAAGAAGGTAACAAATGCAGCTTATCAAAGGGCAAAATCGTTCAAATCACAGAATCCCTTTCATATCGCTCTCATGTATCAGTCCTACGTTTCCAGCCCATATACACTGGTGAACTCTCGCATGCATGCTTTAATTTTAGAAGTTAACTTTGATCATATCTATCCCTTCAAATTCCAATATTTCCATGACATACGTCTTCATTACTTAATACGTTGTTATATTAAAAGAAATTGGTTTAAATGAGTCAAAAACGTTTGAAAGTTCCAAAATATGAGCAGTACTACTTCTATCCTATGTAGCACCGATACGAGTACGTGGAAATGAGGGAAACGCGGAAACGGGTACGAGAATACGACAAAATTAAAAAAAAAAAGTAGGATACGGATACGAGGCCATATTTATAAAAATTAAAATTTATGGGGGTGTATTTATAAATATTAAAAACTATATGGGTGTATTTATAAACAATAAAAATAATTTTTTTAAAAAAAAATACACATATTATCCTCTGACGTCTACTCATTCATGCGATTGAAGCATTTTACATTTTCAAGATACTTAGAAATAAATTCATATTTTATCTTATATACACTAGTGCATCTCGAAATATAGATATAGTCATCAATAACTCATTAATTTAATATGAGAAATAAGTCAAACAACTACATTTTTGAAATTAAAAGTGCAAGTACTCAAAGTTCTAAAATAATGAAGGTAGAAAACAATATTTTAAAATTTCTAATACACATTTCCATTAGAGCTATTAATTTCCACGGATAATTAGAATTAGGGATGGGAGGATGGGTGAATTAGAAATACGCCAATCAGTTGTGTACCACATAAAAGCAAGGTAAAAATTATTTTTACCTTTTCATTTTTTAAGAATTTTATATGTAAATTTTGAGTGTTTTTTTTTTTTAAAAATTGAAAGATTTTTTTTTAAAAAGTTGATACGTGGATCCGTTAGGATACGAGTATCCCAAATTTTAAAATAATTACCAAAAAATGAAAACATTTAAAAATTACAGATACGGCTCGGGAAAGTAAGGTACAGGTATCCCAGAGTATCGAATACGGGAACGTTTCCGATACGCTTATATGGCACCCTAGTGAAGTATCCGTGCTTCATAGCTTCTATCCCACCAATATTGGGACATGAAGAGGTGGTGCCATTATTAAGAAAAATGAGTTGATGTGCTATGTTGATTATGTATTAATAGTGTAATAATGAAGAATGATTTTGAACTATACTAATCTTACTAAGTTTGTTAGAGAAAATTTTAGTGAGGCAGATGAAAAAAAGATAACATACTTAATACTCGTTTTTTTAAGGTTTTTTCAAAGAAAACTACTGAAATGGAAGTTATTTACAAAAATATGACTGCTGGGATATTTGGTCCAAGCCCAATATACCCGGCCCAAAGTATGATGGGGCCCCGAGGAAACATAGGGCCCAAAGCAGTCCAGAACACCCCGATTGGCATTCAACACAGTTCTGACACCTAAACACCCACGACGGGGTCCCGCACACCGAACGCACCACCCGGACGGGTAGTCAGCAAGTGGAAGCCGCATTTAATGTCAAAGCAAGTGGGGGCATGAGTGCATTCGTGGCAGAGGTTACAGCCTACCAGATTCAGCCCGTGTCCATCTCCCCCATCCCCTCTCTAGTATAAATACCTGGGCTTAATACATTGTAAAGGGTTAGCATTTTGATACTCAGAGCTTTGGCATCGCCCTCGATGACCAAAAATGCACTATGCACAAGGGGTAAAGAGGAAAGGGTCACGCGTGCTCAACTTAACTCGAGTTAATTATTACAAAACAGGCGATAATAAGAGTCGCAGGAACTTCCCTAAGGCGCTGGTCGGTGCAGAACTAAACTGAGTCAAGTGATCCTCGGCACATCATCCCCAAAGCAAGACCCTGAGCTGCAAAAACAAAACACACAAACACAAAAACAAACCCAAAAAAAAACACCCCCGATTTTTTTTTTTGGGGGGGGGGGGGGGGTCTGAAAGCAAACAAACAAACAAAAAACAAAAATGCAGAAATAAGCTTGGGTTGCCTCCCAAGTAGCGCTATTTTTAACGTCGTTTGCCCGACGCAACTTCCTCATATGCTCTCAAATAGCAAAGACTGCAGTGGTGCACTTATAGTCAACGTCTCCAGCTTCCTCTCAACAAATGTCATTAGGTGGCGCAGATCTTTAAATTCGTCAGCCCACGAAGGCAGCACATGGTCTTCATAACCCTCATCAGCACAGAAGTGAAATATGAAACTCTCATCCTCTTCAGGTGGACAGAAAACATGAGTGAAAACTTTGATTACTCTAGGTATCACCGGAAGCTCAAAAGATGTCTCAAAGCAAGGAGTAGGAGCAACACCGTAATCAAACTGCATCATAGAAAAGTCCTCTTCTTCCTCACAGATATCATGAACATTCACAACCTCTCCTCTGGACTCTGTATCACTCCCCATGAAGGCATCCCAACTCTCGTTAACACCGTTCTCATCAGGGTCTTCAAAAACATCAGGAAGTGTATCATCCATCATATTCCCACCATCATAGTCTGACTCGCTCACGTGATCATCCATATTGGTCTCCTCAGGTTGGGCTTCTGTGTCGCTAGGATGTGATCTCTCGGACTCCTCAGATATGGCATTAAACAGTCGATCCAAGTGATTCTGGATGTTCTGAAGTCTTGACTGTGTTAACTGTTGATTTGTCTCAGTTGTTTGCATGAATTGCTTGAGTGTTTCTTCCAGGTCAGACAGCTTCTCTGAAATTATCTCTTCCCATTCATCCTGTGGTTCATAGCTCGGCAAAGACGTAGGAGTGACTGAAACATTTGTGTTCGTAAATTGTGGGGAGGAAGAAGTGGGGTAAGCAGTTTCCCGGAAAGGATGGTCATATAGAGGTTTGATGGGGCAAAGACATAAACACTTCCTGGAATTCCTCCAGGAATTTGGCTGAATGGGTTCATCTCACCCTCTTAAGAACAAGTACCTGAAAAGTTAGCACAGAAAACATCCTACGAAAAAAAAACTAACTAAAAAAAATCTCGCTGAAATTAATTAACCCTTAAAACCGACACCGTCCCCGGCAACGGCGCCAAAAACTGATGTGTGTTTTCTCGCACTTAAAATAGTTGTAGAAAAGTGGTTGAAAGTACGAGTATCGTCTCCACAGGGACGGACAAAAGGGAATTAAAGATTAACTAAATTCAGCGATTAAACAGAAATAAATAAATTAAAATGCGATGTGCGAGATTGATTGATTGAATTAAAATTAAAACTAATGCTAATGAGCGATAAAAATAAAAGATTGGTTTCTTCTTAATTAACGACGAAGGGAACAGGAATTGATTCCGGGGTAACCAGATTTCTGGCAGATCAGGCCTAATTACATGAATTTAATTTAATTGAGCCTAGATAATCATTACTAAGTTCTTACCGCTCTCGCGGCGAAGAGTACAATAATTTAGGGGTCCAGGATGATCTCTCATGCGACAAGATCCTAAATTATTGTCAAAACGAGTGAGCTTACGGCCCCTTAATCGCTACTAATCTCTTAGCGAACGATTAAGTGTGTGTGAATGTGTCCTAGAACAAATTAGATCTCTCTTAATTTATTCTATAAGCAATTTTAATTCTAGTGGCCATCTAGGTTACAAGAGATAACAATTAAATTATTCAAACACAAATTAAACGGCATTCATGCAATGAAACCGACAAGAATCTAGCCATCAATCATGATTAACCCCTTCATCAACCCCAAATCCCTAATTAAACTACTCACAATTCATAATTGAAGAATCAACAGAATTGGGAAGAATAGAATAAATTGTCATTAATTAAAGAATTGAACTTACAAATAATCCCAGGGTCTTGGAAGAAAATAGAGTTAAAACGGTGTTAAATCCGTCCCTAGGCCTCTCCGTAATGTTCGTAACGTCAAAATATGGGTATGGGGGTCTTATTTATAGAAAACAGATGAGTTTAGGCTGAACTGGGACTAAAAAGGGGCTGAAATCCGCGTCTCGGGTGTACGCACGATCATGCGTGGCCTGGTACGCACGATCGTGCGTAGCAGGCAGAATGTTATCGCGTTGTTGGCTCTTACGCACGATCGTGCGTCCTTTTACGCACGGTCGTGCGTCCGTGCTCTTCAGCCTTTTTTCTATTCTGAATTTGACAAAACTTCCTTCATGAAAGTTGTAGATAATGAAGTCCCTTATCCACCCCAACTTGCCGAATGTGATTTGAATCATCCAATCAAGAGATATGATCAAAACGGTGGAAGGTGTCATTCTGAAATCGCAGCAGAGATCATCTGACTTCATCGTCTGTTTTCACCTTCTTGCTCTCATATTCTCGTAATGGTGTCTTCATATGATTTGTATCCCTTGAAGTTGGATTTCATATGCAACTTGAATCGTGTCTTTTAAATTCTTCTACAAAGAGATATGCTTGAACGATTGACCAAAGGTCATCCTGATCGTTGTTTTCCAGCTTCATTCATCTTCTTTTGATCCTATAGCCAATCCTAGAGCTATTTTGTCATCAAATCTTCATCGTGAACCTCCCGGTGACCTCCAAAGCTCTCAATCCACTCTCGAATGCATCTCGAATTATCCCGATTGCTCCTCAAGTGCCGATGTTGAACTCTAAATTCCTTATTTTGACTCCAAATGCAACAAAACTCGAACCAACGCCTGTTAAACATAACTTGAGCTAAAATTAAGACTTGCAACACCTTAAATATAGGAAAACCATCAAAATCCAATCCCAACACGCATCAAATGCGTGTCTAAATACGGACTTATCAAGGGTCCATCTCCACCGATAACACCTCCGACTCATTGTCTCCCGTCCGCTCCATGCCATTACTAGATGAAGGGCGAATGATACCCAAACAACTACCGCCTCTCAAGCATATCGAGGAAATCATTGGAGAGCCCGCACCCCCGGCACAGGCAGTACACCCCGAGGGACCGAACCCCGATCAGGCCTAGAGGTGGGGCTCACGTCAGAGAACCTACTCCCACGATAGACCTAGTGGGACAACATTTTCAATATATGGAGAGGGATGGACAAAGGTTCAT